TCTGTCTGTCTGTCTGTCTGTCTGTCTGTCTGTCTGTCTGTCTGTCTGTCTGTCTAATCTAACTGTCTGTCTGTCTGTCTGTCTGTCTGTCTGTCTGTCTGTCTGTCTGTCTGTCTGTCTGTCTGTCTGTCTGTCTGTCTGTCTGTCTGTCTGTCTGTCTGTCTAACTCCATGTTAACTTTCACCTTTCCACTTGTGTCGTTGCCTACCTTAGACTCATCCCTTCAGTACAATTCTGAGGAGCGCAGTCAATAAGTAAAATCACTTCCACCTGTTTCAGGAGACAACAGACTAACCTCCCAGCTTTGCTTGGACAGTTCTCAATACACTGACCCGGGCCCAGTTAAACCTGTCCCCATTTCACCATCTAATTTGTGTCATTTGGTAGCATGTTGCTAAGCCTAACATCGCAGACCTCAAGACATCCTTAAGTGCTTAGAGAAGGCACCTGATCGGAGCGTCAGGCCGGATTATTTCAGGACATAGCGTCAGTGCCTGGGTCGATCTGTCAATACGCCCTATATCGGGAGGATAACCCAGTTTAGCAAACAAAAAATGATAGTATTTAGATGGCAATGTTAACATGCTATATGTTTAGTGTCACATATGTGCGCACACGGCGTTTGCTTCGGTTAAGTACGGTTATACTCACATAGTGCGTCGCAAGAAGGTACATTCGTCTGAACGAACACAGCTCATTAAACACAATAAGTAATACGCATACTAAGTACAAACAATCACATAAATAAGAAATGCATACATATATGCACATACATACATACACGCACGCACACACACATGCAGGCAGGCAGGTAGACAGGCAGGCAGGCAGACACACACGCACACGCGCACACACACACACACATACTTGCACGCACGCACGCACACAATTTGTTGTCACATAGAACAGTAACCAAATAACGGGGTGTAAAAACCAACAGGAAGAAGTGAATAAAGTGAGGGAGAGCATGGGGTGGGTTAGTCACGTGGGTGGTACAGCATAGGACGTCGCAGTGCAAGGTGGCTGAAAATCCGTTGAGGGATATAGGACAGAAGATGATGATGGTGATGAACAGTGAGATAACACATCTTTTGTGGCATTAACACAATCCACAGTAGGCCGGCAAGAACAGGGGCTAGCTGATCTCAAAGACCTTCTTGAGGGTTTTTCCCTAAACCACTTGCCACTGGAATTAAACCCTGGTACTGTGCGGGACATGAACTACTTCACTAACTACTGAGCCTCAGAGCGGTTACAGTAACAGTTTTGCACTGAGCTTATTATTAAATTGATTTTCAGAAAGTTATTTGCGTATCCTTTACAGGACGTTGCAGAACCAACCCCTGCATTTTTTTGGCTGTTGTAGTTTTTTAAAACAAATTTACGCCAGTAGTTTGTGATTGCTTTTGGACGGTCGGCTTCTCGATACCACTGTCGAAACCAATGCAAGGCGCAAGGCCCGCAGTTGGGATCGAACCCAACAACCCTGCATTATGAATCACGTGTGCAACTCTTAAGCCACAAACGCCGACTTGCAGAGTATATTGTATTTATCTTATGAATGAAAATAATCAAGTTTTGTTGATATTTCCACAGACTCTGGAACCAGACTTTATCAGACATTGAGTCTTCCTTGAAGCAATCATCATCCTGTGGTGTGTACTGGAGCAGCAGTCATGTTCATGGAGCTGGACAAGCTACCTCAGCTGTTGATCATACAAGAGGCCTTAAATTTCTCTTATGTATGAACAGACATCAAATCCGATCTAATTGTCATCCAATAACTTTCAGAGGAATTGTGTCAACTATTCACTTGGCTGGAATGCAGGGAAATAAGTAGATTCAAAATCAAATGGTGCAGAAAACTGTTTAAGTAGATAAACATAAACTTATATGTTCAACATATATACATAGGCTTTTTCCCAAATGAGGAATCACTTAAAACTGAGGAAAGGAGAAGCATAGTATTTATTGAGCTCATGGAAACTCTCCAGCAGTTGAAATTAAGGAGTAGCTTCTTCGCTGTAATAAAGAAACACAAAATTACTGAATTCATGGAAGCTCCTGTCAGTTTTGTGGCAGTTGCTTTGCCCTAAGAGGAATCGTGAAATTGAATTTATGAAAGCTCTTTACAATTGAAGTTTAACAGTAGTTGCTTTTTTGTGACAAGGAATCATAAAACTCTTGTCTGGGTTCATGAAAACTTTCAAGAGTCGGACTTCAGGAGTTGTAATATGTGCGGATAGTGCTTTTTTTAATCACAAGAACAATTCATCCTTGTTTAGTATCTGCTGTATGTGATAATGTTGTTACAGCAGTAGAACTTGTGGATGTCCATGCCCTCATCTCCCTCTGCACTGCTGTAGAAGACAGCAACTTGGTTCTGTCACATAATCTTTCTCAGTGTATTTTGGAATTAAATGTTAATATCATTGAATTAAAGAGGAGAGAATTAGGAACTTTATTCAGCAACAGACTGCAACATGTTAATGAAGGTTTTATGGGGGATGGATTAGAAACAAGGAGGAAAAGAGAGCAACTTCAGTATCTCTGCTATGAGCACATTAGTATGACTTATTCCCCAGGTGTTCAAAGTAGAAATAGTTCATTTCATCAGCCAGAAAGAAGTTCTTCAGCTAAGGATATTTCATCCTTGTGCATGCCATCCAGCTCACAGAGCATACAGTACAACAAGAATAGCTCTACAGAGTCATCTGAAGAGAAAAGTCCACGGTTACTTCCATCTCCCTCAGGACAAGCATTTGTCTTTAATTCTAGTGCTTCTAAAAGCACAGATCAACATTTTTTTAAACATTCAGGTCAGTTTGGGGTTACCCAGTATTATCACCAGCTGCAGCAGTATGGGGGAGGCTCACATCCCCAGAGTTGCCCTGAAAGACACAGCCTTCTACAACCCTCAATGCTAATTCTGCCTGAGACCTTCTCAGGAGAAGCTGCTTCTGGGATTCAAAGACCGCAGGGTGTTCAGTCCAGGCAGCTAGGAAATACCTCAGAGACATCTTGTTGTGAAGACATCCTGCTTGTACCTGCTGTATTCAAACCTCAGCACATCTGGGAAGATGTCCAGTCAACACCAGTGCAGTACAAACATATGATGGATCATTCTCAACAGCAGCAGCCTCACCATCACCCTATTCATAGCTCCACTGAACACCACAGACTTGTGGTTCCTACGAGTGGTGATCCACAAATGTACCCTGGAGCCATTACTTCACATTCTTCAAGTGGTGAGGAGTCAGAGTACACACCTCCTCATCTACATGTACATGTTTCCCGAAATCTACCAGAAATCCAGATGGATGAACTGTTACCTGAAGAAGAACAGCCAGTGCCTTGGTTGTCTCACACACCTGACAACCTCTCGCCCACAGTACAGATAGTCCAGAGACTGTCCAGAACAACTGTTCATGACAGTAGATATATTGACAGCCCGGGTTCGTTATCACCTGGAAGTACTTCACCAAGAACATCAAAATCAATGGCGCTTCAGGTTCCCACTCCGGAAAAGTCTCCATCACTTAGCCCAACAAGTGCGGCAAAACATAAACAACTCTTTGTGTTTCCAGATATATGTCAGACATCAATGTTTCTGCCCACTCTAGAAAGTGCAGGACTGAACGTCACAGTTCCAGCATTCACGTCGGAGAGCCAGAGGTGGCGGCATGTGTCCTCTGAGAGCAGTGGTGGGGACTCATTTACAACAGGTGATGTAACAGTTGTACCAAAAACATTATTTAGCATTGATTCTGATATCATTCACGATGATGATGACCACACATGCCATGACACAGAAGCAGTAGATGACACTGTTGTGGACTCAGAGACAGGGTCCAGTGTGCAGGAAGAAAGTGGCAGTAGCAGGGAACAGAGCCCCTTTTCTGGGGCATTAGATGCCAGTCGAGCACACTCTCCTGGAGGTAGAAGGGCATCTCCTCTTGGACGCAGAGGTTCTCCACTAGGGAGACAGAGCTTGCACAGGCAGCAGGTAGTTCTGTGTGATGAGGAGGGAGAAGCAGGCTATATGGGGGATACTGGACAGTGTGTTGAAGATGATAAACTTCAGCCTCCAAAGTTTAAACGCAGGCTTCATGAACGCTATGTTTCTAGTCTGAAAGAAGAACCAGGAAAAAGTGAAGACCCTGCCTTGGAAGGCAGCAGTTCGGCTACACATTTGGCATTACCTGATTCTGGAGACATGAAGCCAGTTGTCAAGCTAGAGTCTGTTACTGACGAACAGGAGGAGTTAGGAGACAGCTCCTTACGTAAAAGCCCCAGACGATCATTAGCAGATGAGAGCTACAGAGGTGATTCTTATGAACTCAGCGCTGATGAAGGGGATGTCTTCATGGAACCTGTGAGAGTCCCACAGAGGATGAAGCCCAAAAATCAGCAGCAACCTCTGGATTTATCACGTGGAATGCCTTTTCACGGCATGTACCGAAACACCTCTCTACCAGAAGTGGATGCATCTACCAGCTCTCCAGGACCAAAGTCAAATTACTCCCCAATGTTTCGACCTACTCATCGCTTTAGCTGCTCTCCACATGGACTTTTGTCCCCACAGTCTCAGTCTCCATTGTGCTCTGTCCCTGAAGGAGGCAGAATCTTCAGTTTCAACATGCCCAGTGCTTACGAAGCAGCTGGGGCACACTCTGATACAGACATCATCTCCCCGAGTCCCTTGTCACCTCGTTTCTTCACATTCCCTTCTGTTGCTCCCTCCCATGGTGTCACACCGCTCTTGAACCCAGTGTCAGAAGTCAATCGTTTAGCCGTTTCACCACGTGGTCTATACCCGACGTCTCCGATTCAATTTTCCTTGCGCTCAAAGTCAGTAGCCCACATAAAGTGGGAAACTTTTTCGAAGAGGTCATTCTCAGATTCTGATGTTGCCTATCAGTGTCCAGTTTGTGGTCAGGTGTTTCCTTCTAATGACGGCCTAGCCAAGCACATGGCCAAACATCTGCCGACCGAAACTGTGCGTTCGGCAGACAATAACAAAATACACTATTGTAAAGTCTGCGACCGGTCATTCTCTCGGTCAGACATGCTAACAAGACATATGCGACTGCACACTGGTCTCAAACCGTATGAATGTTTAGACTGTGGTCAAGTTTTCAGCCGATCGGACCATCTTAATACACACAAGCGGACACATACTGGAGAGAAGCCTTACAAATGTCCCCAGTGCCCGTACGCTGCCTGCCGGAGAGACATGATAACACGACATATGCGGACTCATGCTAAACGTACCTCTAAGCGCGATCGGTTCCTCTCTGTTCCAGATGACAGCACAGACACTTGTAAAACTTTGCTGCCGAGCCTTGACACTTCACTGGTTTCAGAACATCCTAGAAGCCGCACATGCTCATCACTGTCCAGCATTGAAAGTCTTGATGTGGAACCCAGCCAGGGGGGACATCGTATCCTGCAGGCCAGTGTGGAATCCATTCTCTCCACCGATGAGCCCAGCACTCACCCTAGAACATCCATAAGCAGTCGAGACTCTGAAGACCTTGAGGACTATGCCGCCTCCTTCTGCCCAACACAGTGGTCACAGCCACGCATTGTCAGCGAGGCTACCTCAGCCCCCTTTCATGAACCAGGGGGAGATGGCTACCACCAGCACACTGAAGATGATCCATTTCTCCAAGGAGATTACTATGTCGAGAAACATCACCGAGAGCCGAGCCCGCATCCTAGAAAATATATTTACCCTCATGGCCCACCACACTCCCATCATCTTGAGAAGCAGCAGCCGCCTCACAAGCCCCACATTGCGGCCTCACACTACATGGGCAGCAGTTGCAGCAGTGGTAGTCAGTTGCAGAGCTCCAATTCTACATCTCACACCAGAGACTCCTATTCTTGATGATAGTGAAAAGCCTCAAGGACATTTTCTGTGCTATCCAGCTTATTGGGTATACATAGTAAGGTAATAGTCGAGGATCCTGTTTCCCCTCAGTGGCACCTTAGATACATGATGCTAGACTCATGTTTTTATAAACTAGTCATCACTTGCTAGGTGATGTGAGCAACATCATGCCACCTGCCTTTACTTGCCAGAACATTACCTATTACCTATTTTAGACTGGCTCACCCTGTTAGCCAAGTTCTGTTTTGAACTAATCTGGCTGAATGCAGATTTGAACCCTAAACATTTGGTTTGACGTGTGAGCGTCATCCACTACGCTACTGTGGGTATGTGTGCGTGCTAGTTGCTCTCTCTGTCTCTCTCTCTCTCTCTCTCTCTCTCTATATATATATATATATATATATATATATATATATATATATATATATATAGAGAGAGAGAGAGAGAGAGAGAGAGAGAGAAAGAGACCGTTTCTGACTTGTTGGATGATAGGATGAATATTAATCCATCCGCATTTTTTTCCAACAACATTTCCTAGCACCCTTTTAGCCTATCCCTATCTCGATTCCCAGCTGAAATTTCTTAAAAACTGCTATAAAGGGTGTTGAAGGGGGACTGCTGGGCAAGCAGGCTAGACACTGTGCTGCCTTGCCAATCGTTACTCATGATGGTATTGTTTACAAAATCCAGTGCTGCCAAGACCACTGGATCACACAATTTTGCTCCTCACAAAAATTAATAGCAAAAGGGAAAGTTTTTTATGATGATAGTGTTGCATACGATAGCCAGTGCTATCCATGGAGCACTGGACCACAGTCTGTTCCTCCCCATGCGGCTTGACAGTAACAGTGGAAATTGATAATGATGATAGTGTTGCATAAGTTATCTCTGTGTACATCAATGTTGAAGCTGTTTCTCTGTGTTATTGTTTGGTCTCCAGTGGAATTAGATGTCTGTTTGACATGCTGACAGAATTTTCAAAGAAATCATGACTGTTCTGGAAACTAGAATATTTATGGATTCCTTATTACATTAATCCCCAGAAGTTATCACTGTCTTTCTCACTGACCCTGAGAGCTATGTTCAGGGAACAGCTTCCCATGGTAGATGGTTCAAAGGGTAGAGAAACAAACATGCAGATTGGTTAGTAGTTTTTAGCATATTAGCTTGGCTTGTACATTCAGATTCTACAATACCGGTGTTGTGGCTAACCCATTGCTACCACTAGGCCGCCATATAAATATTTGATAATCTTGCTTTGAATACCACCTTGGTTAGCACATTTGAATTTATTAGCCTAGAATACCAACTTGCTTAGCACATTTGAATTTGTTGGCCTAGAATACCAACTTGGTTAGCACATTTGAATTTGTTGGCCTAGAATACCAACTTGCTTAGCACATTTGAATTTGTAGGCCTAGAATACCAACTTGGTTAGCACATTTGAAATTGTTAGCCCAGAGTACCAACTTGGTTAGCACATTTGAATTTGTTAGCCTAGAATACCAACTTGCTTAGCACTTTTGAATTTGTTGGCCTAGATTTCCCAACTTGGTCAGCACATTTGAATTTGTTAGCCTGGAAGTCTAATTTGATAAGCACATTTGAATTAGTTAGTGGTTCACAAGGTAATTAACCTGACTAGAACGTGTGGATTGGTTAAATCTTGAAAGAAACTTAACTCTTCAAGAAAACTGATTGTCCACATCAGAAAGAGACAGTCTACATTTGTTGGTTATGTGATGAGAAGGAGAAAGCTGGTTTACATCGTGACAGTAGGAAAGTTGGAGGGAAGAAGAGGCAGAGGGAGACCCAAAGAAAAGATGCTGGACAGTTTGACTTTATGGCACATCTGTGTGAAAGTTGATTGAAAGTACACGAGACAGTAGGTTGGGGATAGACATGACCACTACCAACACCACACATCATGGACTTGAAGACATTTTGTATAGAATATGAACTTGGCTTGTTCATTTGTGTTGGTCAACTAATGCTGGAGTGCCAACATTGCTAGACAAATCAACTTTGATAGTTGTTCCTAGGATACCAGCCAGACTAGAATATTTAGATTTTTTTGTTTTTGTTGTTGTCTTACCTTGAATTCCAACTTAGCTAGCACATTTGGATTGGTTAAATCTTGACTACCACATTGTGAATGTTTAGGCTTTACTTAAGTACCAGCTTGGCCAGGGTTGTTGCTGCCCTAAACACAAGATGTTTTTTCCCCGAACTAATCAAGCAGGTTCTCTTCCCCCCCCCCCCCCCCCCCCCCCCCCACAAGGTTAATTACTCTGACATGTCTTTCATTGTTTTGTCTTTCTTGTATCCATTATTAACACATTACGCTTGTTGCAAACATGTATCTGTCCAATCCAGTCTCGTGCATTAGATTTATATGTGTTTGTTTGTCCTATCACATATTTTCTTGTGTGTTTAATGGTGAAGTCCTCGGCCTGTCAGATATGTTGTATATTAACTGTTTTGTGTTCGTCCAATCAAATATCTTGTATATAAACATTGGTGGGGGGGGGGGGGGGGGGGGGGGTTATGTAATCATGTTTTGTTTTCTTTGATATCTGTGTATATGCAGTAAGGACATATTATACCCTATATATGAATTGACTGCCAGGTGTAACAGTTACCTTTCATATGACTGGGGCCAGGTAGACATACGCACACAGGCACACACATATAATTATGTATATATATATATATATATATATATATATATATATATATATATATATATATATATATATATATATATATATTTATAAATACATACTTTTATCTGTGTGTCTATATAAAGTAGTGTAGGTAAAGGACCCTTTTCCACATCTTTAGGTGTATTGGGCACATTGGGCTAGACCTACATTTTATAGACTAATCAGCAGTCAGAGGCTGATATAGTCAATATCACGACCTGCCGCTTTACTTCCCAGGACTGTACCTGGTACCCATTTAGGACTGGGACAAGATCATTTGTATTCCTTCTCTCCACTGTCTGAGACAGTGTCTGATTCCAGAAACCAACAGTGCTCCTATCAGCTGCACAACTTCCATACACAGAATATTTCAGATTCACAGTCATAACTTTGTTTGTTTATCAGCTAGTTCATTTCCTTTTACACTCGCAAGCCCTAGCAGGACAAACATGAATGAAGAAACTTGAAGACATTATTAGAGTTACAACATACTGTAATAATGGCTGGTTGTTTGTTTTAAGCTAGTTGTCTGTTTGTTAACCGGGTTGTTTCTTTGTCATATGTTTTTTATACTTGTAAATAATGAACAGGCAAGATTACTGTTCTCAGTTTGTTGATTATCATGAATATACATGTGATTTTATGTATTTTAATCTGGTTGTTTGTTTGTTATATATTTGTTACACTTGTTAACCATAAACAGGCGACTTGGCTGTGCATGATCTCTTGATTACCCTGTATATACAAGATCGTTGTATGTTTGTTACACTTGTTAATTATAAACAGGAGACATGTCTGGGCGGGGTTTGTTGATTACCCTAATTATACATGTTGTTGTAAGTGCCTGACCAGTATTCTTTTGTTTTACTCAGCCACTGTCTCATGTTATTTGCCTGCACTTCAACATCTAATGTGGGGTAGTTTGACCCAGTGCATAGTATTTGGATAAGATGGTTTTATGTTGTTGTTTGCACTTTAGCAGTGCATGATCATGTGATACCAGCTTGAGATTCTATCATGTTGTTGACAGCATGTCATTGCATTATGTTTTGGGAATTTGTTTGGGTATCAAGTTATGTTGTTGCCAACACTCCAACGGTTGATGAGGTGATGGATGAGTGCTTGACTTTCAGATGTTCCCTCATGTTGTTGCCATCTGTATATCATTTGGTGTTTTAGGAGTTTCACTGGGTGTCTGGTACCTGTATCAGATTATCTCATGTGGTTTCGTACACTGTAACAGTTGTTGAGGTGATAAATGAATGCTTGACTCTCCGGTACCAACTTCATGTTGCCTTTGTTGTCGCCAAAACTTGCAACGTTTGATGAGATGTTTTGAGCATACCTGTCTGGGGCCAGGCTTCTATTGCCTGACCTCCAACACTTCAGCAGTTGATGAGCTGCTGAACGAGTGCTCGTCTGTGTGGCACCAGCTTTAAACCCTCCCGTGTGATTTGAACAATTCATGAAGTGTTATTGTATATCTCCAGGGCTGCAGCAGTTTAAAAAAAAAAATTAAAAAGAAGAAGAAGGTGTTCAGAGCATGCTGGAATTTCTGACAGGAGTCTGAGATTTCCTGAGACCAACTCTTCAACAGTTGATGGGATTGAATACCCCTGGTACAACTTTCAGATTGCCTCATTGGTGTCTGGTCATATCCTTGACTCGTATAACATATTGTTTATTCTGCTATATTATTGGTTGAAACAAAACAGCTGACTTGTGATTTGTTGTCATGGTTACTTGATGTGCATTAAACATGTGCAATATTTGGTATTGTCATTGCAGAAGTTTAACAGTTTTTTTTCCCCCGGGTGCTCGCGCGCGCCTGTGTTTATGAGAGAGAGAGAGAGAGAGAGAGAGAGAGAGAGAGAGAGAGAGAGAGAGAGAGAGAGAGAAGAAAGAAGGGGGGAGTGGGGGTGGGAGAAAGGGAGCTCCAGACATACCCACAAAATATCTGTATAAAGAATAATATTTCAGGCGATTAGCGTGCACAGCGACGAGTAGATCAAGAACAATGCAATATACTGCCATCAACGATTGCCTGCACTGGAACCCCAGCTCTTTCTCCCTCTCGAGGTCCGATCTCTCTCTCTCTCTCTCTCTCTCTCTCTCTCTCTCTCTCTCTCTCTCTCTCTCTCTCTCTATCTCTCTCTCTGTCTCTCTCTCTCTCTCTCGCTCTCTCTGTTGTTTCTCTCCTATCTTCGATCTTTTTCGTTTACTGGCTATCTACTTTCTCCATGTCTCTCGTTATCTTTCTTTCCTTCTGCCCCCGCTCTCGCTTTCTCCCCT